AAAAAAAAAAAAAAAAAAGGAAAAAAGAAAAATGTTCTTGTTAGGCAGCTGTATTTATTTATTTATTTTTGAGACTAGAGTATCACTCTGACGCCCAGGCTGGAGTGCATGGTCACCACAGCCTCGACCTGCTGAGCTCAGGTGATCCTTCCACCTCAGCCTTCCAAGTAGCTGGAACTACCACACTTAGCTAATTTTTTTGATTTATTGTAGAGACGAAGTCTCACCAAGTTGTCCAGGCTGGTCTCAAACCCCTGCACTCACTCAATTCTCTCACCTTGGTCTCCCAAAGTGCTGGGATTACAGGCAAGAGCCACCGTGCCTGGCTGCAGTTGTATTTTCAAGACAAGCATCCTGCTCTCCATATAGATCAAAATAACTCCTTTTACATATTACAGAATCAAAACCATCTTGAACTGTGACTTCAGCCAGTAAAGCCTGTGGCTTTATCTTTCATTTTTAAAGTCTCCAAGAATGTTTACACTGACACAGACCACTCACTCTGGTAAGTGGGCACTGATGAATTATGTGCCTTTGCTCACACTCTCCTTCCTTACCTTGGCCTGTTCTTCAAAAAGCTGCCGCTGCCGCACAGGATCATTCAGCTCAGTGTAGGCATTGCATATCTCCTTCTTCATGACAAACAGCTCAAAACGCTCAGTCAGACCCTCTTTAGAGCGGTGCCTGGGGACAGAAGATCAAAGAGGAGGCTGAATATATAGGCCCCTAATAATCTAATATCCGATATAAGCTTTTTTTTTTTTTTTTTTTTTAAGTCAGAGTCTCAGTCTGTTGCCTAGGATGGAGTGCAGTGGCACGATCATGGTCATGGCAGCCTTGGCCTACTGGGCTCAGGTGTTCCTTCTGCCTCAGCTTTCAAGTAGCCGTAACTAAAGGTGCCATGCCCGGCTAATTTTTTGATTTATTGTAAAGATGTGGTCTCGCCAAACTGTCCAGGCTGGTCTCGAACCCCTGGCTCAAGCAATCCTCTCGCCTCTGCCTCCCAAAGTGCTGCAATTACAGGCAAGAGTCACTGCGCCCAGCCATTGATATGAGGATCCTTGAACTCTAGTGGACTCAAATGTGTTATTGATTGTAAACTGAGGCCTGCATGCATTCTCAGCGCCAAATTGTTTGGTACAATAGTGAGAAGAGAGAGGCTGGGAAGACTGAATTATCTTGCTAACAAGCCAGTGTGGCCAGCTGTTACACTTAGATTTCCTGTATTCATGCCCTTCTGTAGTCCCTCTCACATGGACTCCAGGCTGGCAATATGACTTGGTCTGACCAATGGGCTATCAGCAGAGGCTTTCTATGTCTGTGCATTGAGATTTGCTCTTTCGGAAGGCTTCCACATGCTGAAAGAAGTTCCAGGCTATACTGTCACAGAGGCCACATGAAGAGGCCCGAGGAAGAGAACCCATGTAGAGGAGAACCAAAGTGCCCTGGCAGAAGCCCCAGTTAAAAAGTCATTTTGGCCAGGTGCAGTGGCTCATGCCTGTAATCCCAGCACTTTGGAAGGCCGAAATGGGAGAATCACTAGGACCCACGAGTTTGAGACCAGCCTGGGCAATATAGTGAGATCCTGTCTGTACAAAAAAAAAAGCCAAGTGTGGTGGTGTGCATCTGCTATCCAGCTACTTGAGAGGCTGAGGCACAAAAATCACCTGAGCCCAGGAGGCTGAGGCTGTGGTAAGCCACAACCATGTATTCCAGCCTAGGCAAAAGACCCCAGCTCAAAACAAACAAACAAACAAACAAACAAACAAAAAAACACCACCTAGGCGACCTATAAAATCCTGAAAATAAATTGCTGTTTACCACCACCAAGTTTTGAAGTTGTTATGCATCAACAAGTAACTGAAGCACCATGCTTTATCTCACCATTTAGCCAAAGGGCTCATTATCTGCGGGTGATCACAGATGAATGTAGGATTGATGCAAGTCACCTCCAGGAAATCTCCCACAAGCTTAATGAGAAGGCAAAGCAGCGTTAGATATCACTTCTGAATTGATCTATGTTTTGATCATCCCAGCCTAGACAGAAGATCTTAGCTCCCACCCAGATGGGTTTATCCTATAGCTTTTCAAAGGCTACAAAGGAATTAACTGAGATAACACACACGAACTGTTTGGCGCTGTTTGGCACAGAGCTTAGTATGACTGTTTAAAGTTTGTTAATTCTCCTGTTCCTCTCTTTAGAGTTTTCCTAACTCCTAATTTAGGGGTAGTATTTAGTATTTAGCTGTAGAAATGAATTCTTTCCAGGGGGGTTTATTTCCCTAGGGACTAGGGGACTGGTAAGCACTGAAAGGACATATACTAAAAGGGCAGGGCCTCTCACCTTATCAAGGAGCCTGGCTGTGGTCCGAGGTGGAGGGCATTCAACATCTTTTGCCACACAGATATTATCAAGAATTTTGCGAGTTTCTGTGATACAAATGCAAAAATTAGGACAGGAGTCACCACACTAGCCTAGTAAAACTGTATATAAAGAGAACAGTGTATAGCTGGGCATGGTGCCTCATGCTTGTCATCCCAGCACTTTGGGAAGTGGAGGCAAACAGATTGCCTGAGCCCAGGGGTTCGAAACCAGCCTGGGCAACATGGCAAGACCTCATCTCTACAATAAATAATAAAAAATTAGCCAGGCATGGCAGCATGCGCCTGTGATTCCAGCTTCTTGGAAGGCTAAGGCAAGGATCACCTGAGCCCAGCAAGTCAAGGCTGAGGTAGCCATGAGCATGTCACTGTACTCCAGCCTGGGCGACACAGTAAGAATCCTACTTAAAAAAAAAGAGAGGACAGGCTGGGCTCGGTGGCTCAGCCTGTAATCCCAGCGTTTTGGGAGGCCAAGGTGAGCGGATTGCCTGAGCCTGCGGGTTCGAGACCCACCTGGGCAACTTGGCGAGACCTCATCTCTACAATAAATAAAAAAAAAAATTAGCTGGGCATGATAGCGCATGCCTGTAGTTCCAGCTACTTGGAAAGTTGAGGTGGAAGGATAGTTGGAGTCCAGCAGATCGAGGCTGCGGTGGCCGGGAGTGGCTACTGCACTCCAGTCTGGGTGACAGAGTGAGACTCCAACTCAAAAAAAAAAAAAAAAAAAAAAAAAGAGAGAGAACAGTATGGGAAATTCTAGCTCTGACTCAATCAAATTCAGAGCTGAAGAAGGCGGGTCATACAACAGAGAGTGTATCACTTTACCTTCAGTTTCAAAGAGGTTAGTTTCTGGCAGTTTCACCCCCAGGGCTTTCTCAAGCTCTTCTACCATGCTGATTCTCCTAAATGGTGGAGTGAAGTCAATCTCGTACGCTTGGCCCTCTGGGCCATCTGGGTGGTAGGTGACCTTGTAACTGCCTGTAATATGCTTCACCATACCTGGGAGAGAAAACTGCCATTTAAAGGGGATGAAGCCCAGGAAGCCCACCTCTGAAAGCAGCACACGAACCGCTCCCCCAAGACAAGTGTGAAAGAGAGAAGAGTCACCTGAAACCATCTTCTCCGTGATTTCCATGAGATCATTATAGTCTGCGTAGGCCATGTAAAATTCACAGGTGGTGAACTCAGGGTTGTGAGTCAAATCAATTCCTTCATTCCGGAACTGGCGTCCAATTTCATAAACCCGGTCAATGCCACCAACCACTAGCATCTAACAACAACACATGGCCCTGGTCAGGGCTGGTAATCTTGCCTTAACAGCTCTGGAAAGTTTCTGTCTAAGTTGGCTTCCACAGCTTAGGCTACTTTCAGGTGTCTACTCAAAACACCTGCTCTTTTCAGACATTTGTAGTAGATAATCTATTTTGGGTGCTCAGAAGTTCTGGATACTCTTCGTATGTCTTGGCATCCACCACTTTTTAGGCCCGAGACTCCCCAAGGAAGAAGCCTCTCTTGGGGTTAGGCTGCAAGAATGTAACCCAAGCTCCACTAATCAGGTACACCTGTGAGACTTTAACATGGAATCTACTAAAAGATGATGCAGGTATTGCACAGAATTCATTCTGGTAAAGAGGGTCAGTAATATCAGCTTTTAGAGGTAGCTGCTGCAGAGTGGTAACTGTGCCTAGTGATAAAAACACTGGGTTCTTCATGAGAACAATTCAGTGAAGTGATACAGAATCATTCCAAGTTGTGTGGTCTCCAAGCCTGACTGTCTGACCCTCCTGGAGATTGTGAGCTTCCTATATAGCTAACCATAATTTTCTTTTGTTTAAATTAGTTGTAATAGGTTCTGTTGTCTGCAGCTAAGAATCTTGAATGGTGGTCTTCAACATTTACTCAGGAGATTTGAAAAAACATCTTTATAGTGACTTGAAGATATTAATTAATTTCCAACTTCCACAGAGATTTGGCTCTTTCTTCTGCAAAAGACTACAAAATCAGATCTAATCCAAGGAAGACTATGACCTTAAAAGTAGGTTACAGTCGGGCACAGGGTCTCATGCCTAATCTCAGCACTTGGGAGGTGGAGGCAAGAGGACTGCCTAAGCTTAAAGGTTCGAGTCCAGCCTAAGCAACATGGCGAGACCTCGTCTCTACAATAAATCATAAAATTACCGGACACGGTGGCATGTGCCTGTGGTTCCAGCAGCTACTTGGAAGGCTGAGGTGGAAGGATCACCTGAGCCCAGCAGGTCAAGGCTACAGTGGTCACGAGCATGCCACTGCACTCTAGTCTGGGCAACAGAGTGAGAATAACTCAAAAAAAAAAAAAAGAGCCTGGGCTCAGTGGCCTAGCCTCTAATAACATCACTTTTGGAGGCCGAGGCAAGTGGATTGCCTGAGCCCACGGGTTCGAGACCAGTCCGGACAACTTGGCGAGACCTCATCTCTACAATAAATAAAAAGTTAGCTGGGTGTGGTAGTGAGTGCCTGTAGTTCCAGGTACTTGGAAAGCTGAGGTGGAAGGATCGCCAGAGCCCAGCAGGTCGATGCTGGGGTGGCTGTGAGTATGCCACTGCACTCCAGCCTGGGCGACAGGGTGAGACTCCGACGCAAAATAAAAAAAGTAGGAGCCAGGCTTGGTGGCTCAGCCTATAATCCCGTGCCTTTGGGAGGCTGAGGTGAGTGGACTGCCTGAGCCCGCGGGTTCGAGACCTGTCTGGGCAACTTGGTGAGACCTCATCTCTACAATAAACCAAAAAATTAGCCGGGCGTGGTAGCGCGCGCCTGTAGTTCCAGCTACTTGGAAGGCTGAGGCAGAAGGATCGCCGGAGCCCAGCAGGTCGAGGCTGCGGTGGCTGGGAGTGGTCACTGCACTCCAGTTTGGGCAACAGAGTGAGACTCCAACTCAAGAAAAAAAAAAAAAAAGTAGGTTGTATGTGCCTGTACACATGAAAGACAATCCCTTACCCTGTGCAGAAATGCTCTATAGATTTTATAGAGAAATTCTAGAAGTGTTATACTCTTAAACGTGGCAAATTAAAATACTCTCCTGGCTGTTTTACCCTCACTGTTCCTCTTATTTCTGACTATAACTGTCTAGTCAATGGTTTTCTAGCTTTCTGCTTATTTAAGGGAGCGAAGTGTTTTATTATTGACTACCTTATGGTAGAGTTCTGGAGCAATTCTCATATACAAGTTCATGTCCAGCTCATTGTGATAAGTGATGAAAGGCTTAGCCACAGCTCCCCCTGGGATGATGTTCATCATAGGAGTCTCAATCTAAAAAAGACAGAAAGAAACATTTAGTCCCAGACATCCAGAGGCTTTGGGGACAGCTCATACCTTGCATGTAATATAGTCTAAATCTGTTATATTCCACAGTAAAAGTAAGTTAAATAGTGATGTGCAAGTGCTGGACAAAAAAGAACAGATAGCTTGATTTGCTATAACAGTGTCTCAATTTCTATTCATACTAGATACTACTAACATAGTACCATAAACTTTCACAAGTTGTAAACGGCAATCCAATGGATATAGTTCAATTTGCAGTATTTATTAAAAATCTAGGCCGGGCTTGGTGGCTCAGCCTATAATCCCAGCACTTTGGAAAGCCAAGGCGAGAGTATTGCCTGAGCCCGCAGGTTCGAGACCAGCCTGGGCAACTTGGCAAGACCTCGTCTCTACAGTAAAATAAAAAATAGCCGGGTGTGGTAGCGTGCGCCTGTAGTTCCAGCTACTCGGAAGGCTGAGGCTGAAGGGTTGCTGGAGCCCAGCAGGTCAATGCTCAGGTGGCCGTGAGCATGCGTGCCATTGCACTCTAGCCGAAGGAGTGGGACTCCAACTCAAAAAAAAAAAATTAAATTAAACTTAACTGCTTATACCTTTTGAGTTAGCAATGCTACTTCTAGAAATCTATCCTACAGAAATACTTGCATTTGTGCATAAAGATGTACATTGAAACATTTATTATAGAAGAATATTAGAAATAACCTAGGCTGGGTAGGGTGCTTCACACCTATAATCCCAGCACTTTGGGAGGCCAAGGTGAGAACAGCCTGGGCAACGCCCATAGTGAAACCTCATCCAAAAAAAAAAAAAAAGGAAGGAAGGAAGAATCAGCTACTAGTGAGGCCGAGGTGGAAGGATCATATGAACCCAAGAGGTTGAGGATGAAATGAGCTGGGATTATGCCACTGCACTCCAGCGTGGGGACAGAGAGGAACCCTGTCTAAAAACAAAAACAAATACAAAATCTGGCTGTGTGTGGTGGCTCAAGCCTGTAATCCCAGTACTTTGGGAGGCCAAGTTGAGAGGATTGCATGAACCCACGGGTTCGAGACCAGCCTGGGCAACTTGGCGAGACCTCATCTCTACAATAAATCAAAAAATTAGCCGGGCATGGTAGCGCACGCCTGTAGTTCTGGCTACCAGGAAGGCTGAGGCAGAAGGATCACCTAAGCCCAGCAGGTTGACGCTGGGGTGGCCGTGAACGTGCCACTGTACTCCAGCCTGGGCAACAGAGTGAGATTCCAACTCAAAAAAAAAAAAAGCCTCAACTATCAATAAGGAAAAATAAATAAATAATGCAGCATTAAGAAGGAATATCTAGCCGGGCTCGGTGGCTCAGCCTGTAATCCTGTGCCTTTGGGAAGCTGAGGTGAGTGGATTGCCTGAGCCTGCGGGTTTGAGACCCGCCTGGGCAGGCGAGACCTCATCTCTACAATAAATCAAAAATTAGCCAGGCGTGGTAGCGCGCACCTGTAATTCCGGCTACTCGGAAGGCTGAGGCGGAAGGATCGTCGGAGCCCAGGAGGTCGAGGATGTGGTGGCCGGGAGCGGCCACTGCACTCCAGTCTGGGTGAGAGAGTGAGACTTCAACTCAAAAAAAAAAAAAAAAAAAAAAAGAAGGAATATCTATCTACCTCATACAAAGGGCTTCAGAATATCTTAAGTGGAAATAAAAGCATGTTCATCATAATACATACAGTGTGACCTCATTTATATTTATTTATTATTTTTTTTTTGAGACAGGGCCTCACTCTGTCACCAAGGGGAGCAGTAGTACAATACCAGCTCACTGCAGACCCAATCTTCTGGGCTCAACTGATCTTTCCACCTCAGCCTTCCAAGTAGCTGGGACTATAGGTATGTGCTGCCATGCCAAGCTAATTTTGCTTATTTTTTTTTTGCAGAGAGCCAGGTGCAGTGGCTCATGCCTGTAATCCCAGCACTTTGGGAGGTGGAGACAAGAGGATTGCTGTAGAGATGACGTCTGTACTATATTGCCCAGGCTGGTCTCTCACTATTGGGCTCAAGCAATTCTCTTGACTCAGCCTCCCAAAGTGCTGGGATTACAGGCTTGAGCCTCTGTGCCTAGCCAACCTCATTTATATTTAAAGAAAAAATTAAATCTTTCTAAAAAAGTGTACATATGTGTACTCCATTTGCAATGTACATATGTATATATACATAGTAAATGGCTTGGAAGAATACTTACTAAACTCAAGGGGAGAGAAGTTAGCTGCAAGAAGCAAAGCAGTACTTTCAATTTTGCTTCTCTTTATTCCTTTATTATTTAAATCCATTTTACAGTACATGCGCTTGCCTGTCTCATATAACAATCAATCTTTTTTAATGCTACAAAAAAGCAAAATGATTTGATAACACATTGACCATGGCTTCATTAGCATGCAAACGGGCCCGATACTTTGACCATTATCTTGCCTTCCTAATCAGGACACTAACTAAACAAGGTAGAAGAAAGACAACAGCAAGAAAGGGAACATTCTTATCATTAAGCATGAAGGATACTGACACAGGATATGCCTTGGAAAAGAAAGGAAAGGGAGAGTAAGAGACAAGAGAGTAAGAGTCAAGATAGCTCATCATGTCAGGAAAGAACTCTCCTTACCTCTAGGAATCCCAGCTCATCCAAGAAACTTCTTATATATGTGATGACCTTAGAGCGAATGATAAATTTCTGCCTCACAAAGTCATTCAGGATCAAGTCCAAGTATCTCTGACGATATCTTGTTTCCTAAACCAAAAACAGTAGCTAGAAATCAATGATAAAACTAATCAATACACCCTTGTGCCACAGCTAGGAGGCCATGAGAGCTTACCTTGTCTTTGAGGCCAAAGTGAAGATGAGGTAACATATGCAAGCAGGGGGACAGCAGTGTGATCTCGTAGGGAATGATGCTCAGTTCACCCTTCTTGGTTTTTCCAGGATTCCCCTGAACTCCAATTATGTCTCCCCGACGCAGTTTGTTATTGATGTGAATAAATTCTTCTTCTGATTTGTAATTCCTGAGTGAAATAGAAATGTAATTCAGTACACAATAGTTCAAATTAATACAGATGATTGGTTTACTCTGAAACCCTCACTTAACAGTTAATACCTAGTTAATGTGAGCCCAAGGAGAATCTCAGATTCAGGGGTAACAGTTATGAAAGGACTTTTATTTTACTGTCATACAACTTGAGGGGAATCATAACTTTACAGGTAAGCAAATGGCCTTTTTATCTTTTTAGCCTTACACTACCATGTCTCTTTCTTAACTCTAACTTTAAACATCAATTGGAAAATAAAACCACATCAGCCTCTGTTCCTGTGTTGCTCTAGACCAGTCTAGAAAGGTCTGCAACAGGATTATTTTGATATACCTGGAATTCGCCATAACTTGCAACTTGACCCCCTCTCCTCGAAGATCATAGAAGATGAGCTTTCCCCCAGAAGCTCTTTTGGCATGAATCCTTCCTAGAAAAAGAACAGCAGAAATACTGACTGTCAGAACCAGAAGCCATTTCATGGTATCAGTGCCAAAAAGGCTCCCTCTGCATTTTTAAAAATTTTAGTCAGGGCAGGATATAAACCAGAACAGGCCATGGTGGCTCATGCTTTGGGAGGCCAAGGTGGGAGGATTGCTTAGGCCTGAGTTTGAGACCAACCTGAGGCAACATAGCGAGTCCTCATCTCTAAAAAATAAAAAAAAATTTAGCTGGATGTGGTGGCACATGTCTGCAGTCTTGGCTACTCTGGAGGATAAGGCAGAAGGATCACCTGAGCCTAGAAGTTTGAGGTGAGCCATGACTGACATTGCATTCTAACCTGGGTGAAAGAGTAAGATCTCAATTCAACAAAACAAACAAAACACCAGAACAATAGCTATCTCTCTCTCTTCCCCTCCCTCTGACTCTCTCTCTCTCTAATTTACTTTCTAAGTAAACTATGTTTTCCAGTCTAACTTCTGCAGTTCTTTGCATCTTTCAAGTGACAATGGATCACACACACACTCCCACTGGGCCTAACATTTTGGAGGCCCTTTTGGGATTTTTAACCTAACACTGTCTTAGTTCTTATTGTTTAAGAAAATGAGTCTTGCCTGGGTGCGGTGGCTCAAGCCTGTAATCCCAGCACTTTGGAAAGATAAGGCGAGAGGACTGCCTGAGTCCAGGGGTTTGAGACCACCCTGGGCAACTTGGTGAGACTTCATCTCTACAATAAAATAAAAAATTGGCCAGGCTTGGTGGCACGTGCCTGTGGTCCCAGCTACTTGGGAGGCTGAGGCGGAAGGATCACCTGAGCCCAGCAGGTCGAGGCTGCGGTGGCCATGAGCATGCCACTCACTCCACCCTGGGTGGCAGAGTGACACTCTAACTCAAAAAAAAAAGAAAAAAAGAAAATGAGTCTCCTCTATTAAAGAGTAACATTTTGGCTAAATAAGTGACTATTTTTAGAGACCTGTGATTCTGTGTTGTCATATCAAATGTTTCGAAACTTGATATTTGACAAACTTTCCAAAATTAAAATTTTAAGTTTTGAATTCAGTCTTTTTGATTCCACAAATTTTAGATATTAAAAAAAGGAAAAAAAAAGAAAAGAAAAAGGAAGCATTCAAAGACATGTTCAGAAAAACAAAAAAATTCTAACTTACTACTCCACAGTGAACTAAAAGACATTAAGAAAATAACATAATGCTGGGCACAGTGGCTCACACCTGTAATCTCAGAACTTTGGGAGGCCAAGGCAAGAGGACTGCCTGAGCCCAGGGGTTTGAGACCAGCCTGGGCAACTTGGCAAGACCTCATCTCTACAATAAATCAGAAGGATCTTGAGCCCAGCAGGTCAAGGGTGCAGTGGCCATGAGTGTGCCACTGCACTCTAGCCTGAGCGACAGAGTGAGACTCCTAACTCAAAAAAAAAAAACAAAAAAATAAAAACAGGACAATAACATAAAACATGAAAGAATACAAATTAAAAAAAAAGAAAGAACACAAATCAGAATTAGAAAAACTAAGAAGTGAGGTGACAACACATGAAAGAATTAGAAATAATGTAAAAAATATTTCAGAAATGAAGACTAAACTATAAGGAACAAGAGTGAACAAATACAAGAAATAATGCCTTAAGAGAAACAGAAAGTGAAAAAGAGGCTAAGACTCAAAAATCAAAGTATGAAGAAGATAAAGAGGATTTGAGTGAATGTGACAACTGTTAAAAAGAACCAAAAAAATCCAGAAATTGAAAGAAACAAAACACACAAAAAAATTAAAATAAAAAAGAGCTGAAAATACATATTTGAAGGATACACTGTATACCTGAGAACACTGAACCAGAATGACTAATATCAAGACACATTCTAGTAAAATTACTGAACTTTAAACAAAAAGAATAAGCCAGGTTCAGTGGCTCAGCCTGTAATCCCACACCTTTGGGAGGCTGAGGTGAGTGGATTGCCTGAGCCCGCAGGTTCGAGACCCGCCTGGGCAACTTGGCAAGACCTCATTTCTATAATAAATCAAAAAATTAGCCAGGCGTGGTAGCGCGTGCCTATAGTTCCAGCTACTTGGAAGGCTGAGGCGGAAGGATCACCGGAGCCCAGCAGGTCGAGGCTGGAGCCCAGCAGGTCGAGGCAGCGGTGGCTGGGAGCGGCCACTGCACTCCAGTCTGGGCGTGAGACTCCAACTCAAAAAATAAATAAATAAATAAAAAGAATAAGCCAGGCTCGGTGGCTTAGCCTGTAATCTTGCACTTTGGGAGGCTGAAGTGAGTAGATTGCCTGAGCCCACGGGTTTGAGACCCGCGTGGGCAACTTGGCGAGACCTCATCTCTATAATAAATTTAAAAATTAGCCGGGCGTGGTAGCGCGTGCCTGTAGTTAAAGCTACTTGGAAGGCTGAGGTGGAAGGATCGCCGGAGCCCAGGAGGTCGAGGCTGCGGTGGCCGGGAGTGGCCTCTGCACTCCAGTCTGGGTGACAGAGTGAGACTCCAATTCAAAAAAAATAAAAAGAATAAATCTGGGGGGCATTTATGTATTGGCAGGTTCTTTCTGGGTGGTAGAATTACTGGTAATTAAACTTTTCTTTCCTTGCTTTCTTTGACTATTCTAAATTTTCTACAACTGATAGTTTTCTATTATTTTGGGGGAGGGGAGAAGTAAGGAAAATAAGTGATTTAATTTGTTTTAATGAAGGAAAAGAAGATCCTAAGCAAAACTATAAATCCAGTAGCAATGTTCTAGAAACAAAGTGTCAGTGAAAAGCATTCTCAGGCCAAAAATGAGAATTTTTGAAGCCTGAGGCCATGGCTTCTACTGATGAAGAGAAGCCCTCCTAGAGAATGTCCCTATCTCTGCAGCATTATCTCTTCTGGAATGTGAATCCATGCTTCAGCGCAGCTCTCTTCTTTCTTTCCTTTTTTTTTGAAGGTAAGAAACCAGGATTTATTGAGAAGACATACAAGCTCCCAGAGCGGGAGGGGACCTAAGAGGTTGCCAATTTTCTTCTTTCTGTGAGTGGATATCATAGGACTGTCCTTAGTAAAGTAGTTTCAGACGTCGTCTACTTGAGAGCAAAACAACCCAGACTTTCCTTTGTGCTACTGAAGAGGCCTGCCTGCTGTGGGAGCTCAGCAAACTGCCAGGCAGTTTTCCTACCTGCCACCTTTAAGGTGATGTCAGTCAGGTGGTCCCCAGGCTGCAGGTGATTATATTTTTGGATGAAGTCAGTGAGTGAGATGTCCACATGGAACTTGTGTGGGTACGGGTCTTCCCCATTCACCTTCAGTTGATGGACTGCTTGACTGCGGATCTTGAAGTATTGCTGTTAAAAAAAGAAACCCTTGAGAAGTTGAACCTGGCTAGACCACTGGACTATCTAGCAGAGTACTGCATTCTGCCCCAGGATGACTCCAATACACTGAGGTTTTCTTTAACTGAGCCCTCTATACCCTTGAAATCACAGTATTCAATGTGGAGTGAGATTTGCAGTTAAAATATCCAGGGCGAGGCTGAGCACAGTGGCTCATGCCTATAATCCCAACAATTTGGAAGGCCGAGGTAAGAGGATTGCCTGAGCCCACGGGTTCGAGATCAGCCTGGGCAACGTGGCGAGACCTCATCTCTACAATAAATCAAAATATTAGCCAGACATGATGGTGCATGCCTGTAGTTCCAGCTACTTATCGCCTGAGCCCAGTGGTCGAGGCTGCGGTGGCCGTGAGCGTGCCACTGCACTCCAGCCTAGGTGACAGAGTGAGGAGCCAACTAAAAAAAAAAATTATATATATATATATATCTCCACGGTGGCTAGATCCTACCTAAAATAATATCCATTTAATTGGTACCAGTGGCCTTGTTACCACTTCTGTGAATCGCATCTGCATGGTGAGTCACTTATCTTCCTAGATACACTCCTACATCTGGCCACATGTCAGACTTTCCCCACATAGCATGCCTATGGGGTCTAGAGAACGTAAATAAGCAATATTGGATAGCAGCAGATAGCAAACTTTTTTTTTTTGAGTTGGAGTCTCACTGTATCACCTAGACTGGAGTGCAGTGACACACTCATGGCCACTGCAGCCTTGACCTGCTGAGTACAGGCGATCTTTCTGCCGCAGCTTCCCAAGTAGTTGAAACTACAGGCACACGCCACCATGCCCGGCTAATTTTCTAATTTATTGTAGAGACAAGGTCTCACCAAGTTGCCCAGGCTGGTCTTGAATCCCTGGACTCACAATCCTCTCACCTCAGTCTCCCAAAGTGCCGGGATTATAGGCGTTGAGTCACCGTGCAGCAAACATTTTCTGATGCAACTTCTCAACTCTGCTTTGTAGTGGGAAAGCAGCCTTAGATATATATAAACAAATAAGCATGGCTGCATTCCACTATAATTTTATTTACAAAACCAGGGAGGAGAAGACCAAGTGGAGGAGTGGAAAGGAGTATTTGGCCTGCGGAGTGTAGTTTGCCAGGCCCTGGTCTAAAGTGAACCCTAGTCCATCTTTGGAGAAAGACTTTCCCTGGGTCCTCTATAAGGCCCAGCTAGTTTCAAGAAAGATTGATTTACTTGGGAGTACTAGACTCTCCCGAATGCCTGTTGGGGGTAGACACAAAAAAACACTCAAACTTGTGTTTTTAACCAGATGGAGTGGCAGGCCCTCTCTTATCCGCTGGCAGTGACCCAGAGCCCACTGGTCCCTTCTACTGTCTGGTCCCAAGGAATCAGCCATAAGCCTCATCAGAAGTTTTCTGAAGTGCCCAACCATGCTAGTAGCCCAGGAAACTCACATTTGGGTCCAGACTCTCCTCCTCTGCACCCATGCCATTGTCAGTGGTGTGGTTGGTGGCAACAGCAGTGGCTTGCTTCTCACTGAGCTCTTTCTGCTTAGCCTCTTTCTCTGCCACTTTCTTCTCAGCTTTCAGACGTCTCTTCAACTCACTGTTGGAAACATGAAAAGTGTACAATGTGACAACTGCCTGAAGAGTTTTTTACTATGTTCTCCCCAAAGCCACTAGTCAAAAATGAACAGCCAGGGGGAATGCTCTTGCTCTATTCTACACCCCCAATTTCACACACCAACTCTACCGCTCTTAATCACTGAACTCTATATGTGAAAGACACAAAGAAAAAACAAGCTCAGAACAAAGATATGAAAGATCATTCTCAGTCTTGATTTCCAATCTCAGTTCCTTGACATTAGTTCCAAACTAAAACCAAGATATACCAGGACAAAGAAACTCCTGCATATTAGTTTACATTTAGAACATGGAAAAACGGTTTTCTAGATAATTAGCTGGATAGACTTTTCTTCAGCTAACTAGGTTAGGGAATTCACTGAGGACAGGGATGGAAACTTAGTTGTTTGGTATTTCCAGTAGAAAATGATGTTCCTACAGTGTCAGTTCCAACATGTGATAAAGAAACATCTCCTGCTGTCTGCCACCCTCCTCCATCCCTTCATGAAGAGTGAGTTAGACCAGGGGTAGGGGAGAGCTGGTTCTTCAGAGATCAAGGAGACCCCCACAGACAGTCTCTCCAAGAATGGCTCTCAGCATTGGTTACACTTTGTTCACTGGAGCCCGACTTTGACAATAGGGTAGAACAGCATAGAAAGCAGTGTAATACAGGAAATAGTATATCATCTTTGCAGTCAGACTGCCTGGGACTATTCAGACACACAAGTCACTTGACCGTGGGTAAGTGACTTAACTTCTCTTCATCTGTAAAATGGAAATACTAATAGAGAACCCTTACCAGTTGTTGTGAGGATTAAGGTGTTTGTCAGGGATTGACCCTGGTCCTGACATTTAGTTGACACTCAAATGTGAGCTATCCTAGGTATCACTATTTTTTTTTTTTTTTGAGTTAGAGTTCACTCTTTGCTGCCCAGACTGAAGTGCAGTGACATGCTCGTGGCCACTGCACCCTCGATGTGCTGGGCTTAGACGATCCTTCTACCTCAGCCTTCCAAGTATCTGGAACTACAGACACACGCCACCATGCCCAGCTGTCCCTATCTTAAGCCTTCACTCTCTGCACCTAGGGGAGAAATCATACAGATTTGAATATTAAATACATTTCTTGTTAAATCCTTCACTATCCAAACTCTTGATACTTGTCACTTAAAACTCAAAAATCAATGTGATGTGGACAACTCAGTATCCTTTATGACCTGAACTTGTTATCTGAACCCAGAAACAAAACTGATTTGGCTAGAGGATACCTTATTATTCAAAATAATTTATGGGTAATTCTCTCAAATCACTTATGCTAATCAAATATTCTGCAACAGTGAACCATGGTAAAAAAATCTAATGTCATCCTTGCATATTGTCTGGCTTTAGGACATGTCCTTCATTTTCAATATGAGTTTTGAGTAACTGAAAAAAAAAGTAATTGGGGATTTGAATCTCATCTTTTAAGTAAGAAAAAGTGATTCTGATGGCTTCAAAGTAGACAACTCTCTAGATATAATGTGTCTTATAGCATTTGTAAACACCTTTTCAAAACAGTGTGCTAAACTTATCATGCTATAATTCAGTCAGTGGACATTTAGCTCTTTCTAGAACTTCTTTTTGGGGGGTGTTGGAGTCTCACTCTGCTGCCCAGGCTAGAATGCAGTGGCACACTCACAGCCACCACAGCGTTGACCTGCTGGGCTCAGGCTATCCTTCTGCCTCGGCCTTCCAAGTAGCTAGAACTACAAGTGTGCGCCACTATGCCCGGCTAATTTTTGGATTTATTGTAGAGATGAGGTCTTACCATGTTGCCCAGGCTGGTCTTGAACCCCTGGGCTTAGGCAATCCTCTCATCTCCACCTCCCAAAGAGCTAAAATTACAGGCATAAGTCACTGTGCCCAGCACAGTTCTTCCTAGAATTAAGATAAACCTGTTTTCCACTCAACTAGTTGTTCCTCTTAAAACAAATCTATCCTAAGGATAATCCAAAAAAGTCCTAGGGATAACACTAAGACTAGAAACTAAATCTCAAGAGCAAATAAAATCAAAGCCGGCATTAGAAAAATCTTTATTTAAACAAGGGTTTTGTTCTCTGGATTATTCTAAAATAAAATCCAGAAGGCATCTCAAGACTCTAAAGAAGGAAGATCTGTATTTATTAGAGAGAAAATAAAAAAGGGTTATTGGTTTTGGTAGTAGGGCTCCTTGTTTCCTTGGCAACAAGTCCAAAGACTTAGCCAGGGGTTTAACAGATAACGAACCAAGTAAGGAAATAATTTTTGCTCCCAGAGCAATACAGAAGGTAATGGGCACCAACCTTCTTTTATCAGAAAGCGGCTTGTCCTTGTGAAGTATCGTGAAAGGAGCAAGTTGACCCAGTCGCAGTTCCCTCTGACCCCACTTTGCCCAGGAGGTTTGGTGCAAGGACCCCCTAATAAGCCTTACAGCAGCTTGCGTCAACATGGCGGAACACCCTGGAACTAATGATTACCACCACCTAGCAGGAAACAGAGATGTGGTGTCAGATGGGACAGACAGTATACATACACCCATCCAGCTCTCTTATGGGTTGGGGGAGCAAGACCTTGCCTGCACTACTTTTTAGTGTTCTATTTAACTTAAGACCCTCTTAACTGACAGAGACTTGTGACACTTATTGTACTACAACTGACAAAGTTCTCGGTTCTGGCTAGAAAAACCATGCATATTTGGGGTTATAAGTCAATAGCAAGTCAATCAATAGCTCACAGGCAGAAATAACACAACATTCTAGAATATGGGAGACAGGATGTGAGGCAGTGCTTCTGAAGCCCTGAATGTAGTTGGAGATGAAATACCTGGCCACAAGATGATAATGGGAAAATAAGAAACTGTCACTAGCAACTGCAAACTAGACAGAACTAAAGATAAGTCACACAAAAAGACCTCTGAGTCAAAGACAACACTTGTTTGGAATTCTAGGAACAAGGAGGAAAAGAAAAACTTCAGGGTCTTAGGCTACACTATGTTTACACATTAATTTTTAATTTTTTTGAGTTGGAGTCTCACTTTGTCGCCCAGGATGGCGTGCAGTGGCACACTCACAGCCACCCCAGCATCCACCTGCTGAGCTCCGGTTATCCTTCCACCTGGTAATCCTTCTGCTTGAGCCTTCCAAGTAGCCCAAACCACAGGCATGCTACCATGCCCAGCTAATTTTTTATTTATTGTAGAGACGAGGTCTTACCAAGTTGCCCGGTCTTAGCAAGTTGCCCGGTCTTACCAAGTTGCCCAGGCTAGTCTTGAACCCGCAGGTTCAGGCAATCCACTTGTTTCGGCCTCCCAAAGTGCTGGCATTACAGGCTGAGCCACCGAGTCTGGCCTTATTTTTTATTTTAAGAAACAGAATTTATTTTCCTTTTGTGGCCAGACAGGTGGAAGATTATTTCACCTCTTAAAACAGTTTGTAAGGCTGGGTGCAGTGGCTCATGCCTGTAATTCCAGCACTTTGAGAGGCAGAGGTGAGAGGATTGCCTGAGATCAGGGGTTCAAGATCAGTCTGAGCAACATGGCTAGACCTCGTCTCTACAGTAAATCAAAAAATTAGCCAGCCGTGATGGTGTGCGCCTTGGAAGGCTGAGATGGAAGAATCACCTGAGCCCGGGGCAGGTTGAGGCTGCGGTGGCCATGAGCTACCACTGCACTCCAGCCTGGGTGACAGAGTGAGACTTTGACTTAAAAAACAAACAAACAAACAAACAAACAAAAAACCCCACCAAAAAACAGTTTGTAGTAAGTTTACACATTATTAACACTGGAACACTGGAAGGCAACAGAATTACAGGCATCGTGCTCTTTATAGGGTTAAAATAAATTTGAGAAGTACATTTCATTTGAGAATAAGTCACTTGGGTAGGCAGCACATCTTTTTAAAACTTCAGGACAAACGGTCCTTACTAAAGATTTCAGATCAGGGGAGTTCCAAGAACAATAGAAGGAAATCTTAATCATAACAAATTACTTTAGCTCATGGTCACTAGAGAAATACACATCAACATCAGAATCTTTTAGGTGATGTGAGGTAGTACAGTGCAGTCAGTATAAAGAGCATGGACTGTCGAGTTACGGACTTGATTTGAGCTCTCTATGCCAGTGCTTTGGATCAAGGCCAGGGCACACTTTAGAGATGTACACTTTAGCAACACATTTAATTACGCAAGGCCACAGTTTTCTAATTTGAAAAAATGAAAATTAACTCTTCTCTTACAAGGTTATTATTGAGGTAAGACAAAAAGGTTGTAGAGATCTAGCACTGTGCCTGGCACAAAAAAGTTGCTCACAATAGTTGTTGTATTTAATCTTTGAAAAGTCAGTAGAAAGGAATCAACCAGTTTTCTCAACTTACCTTAAAATCACATTCTGAACTAGAAACCCTACTTTCACCCGTGACTTACAGTCCTAAAATTCAATTCAATCCCATGTAATTTATCATAGGTTGTTTGAAAGAATGAACTGAACTTTTTAGGACCGCAATCACAGATATGAAGAATTCAATTCAATTCAATTCAGTTAGATGTAACCGATCAAAGTCCAGTCGATATTTCCTAAGGTAGAAGTCTAAGACCAAGTTCTAAACATTTATGGAAATCCATCAGATCGCTCTAACAAAGGACAACATATTAGGGTGCACTAAATCATATATTTAGACATATTCCTTATCGCTTTTCTAAAATATTGGAAGCATAAACACAGACACAAAAGGAAACATCAATTCTCATCCACTGAGTGACTAGAGCAATTAACTTCCTCAGGATTCAGGAAGAGTATTCAGCCCTAATACACTATGGCAGCCATCATATGTAATAACATAACTTCTCTCCTATGTCTCTAAAATGGTACTAATTATGTACTATAGCATTAAGAAAACACTTAAATCATTGCCTTGTGTTCTGTAATTCAAACAAGGAACTCCAATGAGAATACAAGACACAGTCAATTAAAGGCTGGCTAATATTGACTTATCTATGCTAAACTCAGACTCCAAGGATTTGGGGTGATTAACAAAGATACTAGGCTGAATAAGATGGCCTTTTATTATTAGACACTGATCACTCGATACAGATCCACTGAATAACCCATACGGATGGGGGCACAACAGTTTTAGAAATGATACCTTTTCATATGTAAGGTTCAGAATGATCATGGTGAGGCCAAGAAAATTTTGAAGGGCTTTCTGGAAACTTGGGGTAGTTACACTTCTTCAATCTCCTCATTGGGGAGCGGCTCAATAAAAGAATGCACTTCTCGGAGAGGAGGGAAGAAGGAAGAAAGGAGGCAGTAAGTTTCGCTTTCCTTTCTGACACCTCTCAGATACCGTGCTAGCTTCTGCGCATTCTCTCATTCCAGGAGTACGACAGGGGAGACCCCGTCAGCCGCAGGTGGGAGCCAGAAGCCGAAGGTCTCGGGGCATCCCGGGGTATGTAGTTCCCAGCGCGCAGCGGCCACGTACGGTGCCAGCATGTGCGTTCCCACGAGAGCCAGCAGGAAGGCCCGCGGCACAGCCGCCTCGGCCGGAACCTCAAGGCGCTTCCCAGCCCGGACTCCCGTACCGCAAAGTCTTTAATGGCCGCCACGATACTTACTTCTTGCTCAGTTTCGGCTCGCCGCCATCCACTTTTATCTCGACCTCGGGCACCGCTGCCATCTTCCCCGAGGGCCAGACCCAAAAGTGACGAGCGCAGCCCGTTAATTTCCAGGTCAGGGGTCGAAGACCCGCCTCTTCCGGGGGACTGGCGCTCTTGGCGCCGGGCTGCTCCGCCGCGGGGTTGCTCCTGCGCAGGCGCAGTGCTGGGCGTCGCGGCCGAGGCGTCAGTGTTGGTGTGTGCCGGGCGCTGGTTCGGGGCCCGCTTCTCTGGTTCCTGGCGACAGACATGGCGGAGGCGATGGATGTGGGCAAAGACCCCAACGGACCCACCCACTCCTCAACTCTCTTCGTGAGGGAAGACGGCAGCTCTATGTCCTTCTACGTGCGGCCCAGCCCGGCCAAGCGCCGGCTCTCGACGCTCATCCTGCATGGCGGCGGCACCGTGTGCCGGGTGCAGGAACCCGGAGCGGTGCTTCTGGCCCAGCCCGGGGAGGCCCTGGCCGAGGCCTCGGGCGACTTCATCTCCACGCAGTACATCCTGGACTGTGTGGAGCGCAACGAGAAGCTCGAGCTGAAGCCCTATCGGCTGGGCCCGGCCTCCGAGGCCGACCCGGGGGGGCCAGAGACAAAGCCCGGGGCTCCGGCCGAGGGCGCCGTGGAGCCCAGCCCGCAGTCGCTCGCGGGGCGCATCTCCTTCACGGTCGCGGACGACGTGGCCATCTTGACATACGTGAAGGAGAATGCCCGCTCGCCCAGCTCCGTCACCGGCAACGCCCTGTGGAAAGCGATGGAGAAGAGCTCGCTCACGCAGCACTCGTGGCAGTCCATGAAGGACCGCTACCTCAAGCACCTGCGGGGCCAGGAGCATAAGTACCTGTTAGGGGACGCCCCGGTGAGCCCCTCCTCCCAGAAGCTCAAGCGGAAGGCGGAGCAAGACCCGGAGGCTGCTGATAGCGGGGGTGAGGCCCGCGGCTGCGCGCGAGGGGTCCTCGGCGCACACCCGTGCGAGTGGGAGCGGAGGTGTCCCTTCCGCTTTGGCATTTTGGTGGCATCGCTTACCCCGCTGACATCCGACTAAATTTGCTCCATTTTCCTTTTTTTCTGGCTCTTACGTGTTTTCTTCCCCAATAACTGATTCTGTTCAAAAGGTACAAAAAGAGCATATGTAAACTTCTCGGCTGGGCGCGGTGGCTCATGCCTATAATCCCAGCTATTCGGGAGGCTGAGACCGGAGGATCCCTTGATCCCAAGAGCTCGAGGCTGCAATGGGCCATGGTCGCACCGCGGCACTCCAGACTGGGTGACAGAGCGAGACTTTGTCTCAAAAGATTAAAATAAGATAAAATTTTCTTGTTCTTCCTGCCCATCAGCTACCCACTTTTCTTCCCCAGAGGCAACAGTGTAACCGGCTTCTTGTGTATCTTTTCAGAGACCAGTTTTTTTTAAAAAAAAGTTTTATATTCAGATAAATCCAGTATATGCCGCTTGAAAGCTGCCAGATTTGTTTATTTTCATGCTCTGGCTTAATTGAATGCATAAGAAGGTGGTTGTCTGTTGGAATGTCTCTTGCCCTCCTTGCTTACATGAAGGGAGTTTTTATTTTTTTTGAGTTGGAGTCTCACTGTGTGGTCCAGGCTGGAGTGCAGTGGCACACTTACGGCCATCGCAGCCTCGACCTGCTGGGCTCAGGCGATCCTTCCACCTCAGCCTTCCAAGTAGTTGGAACCACAGGCGATCGCCACCATGCCCAGCTAATTTTTTCATTTATTGTAGAGACAAGGTCTTGCCAAATGGCCCAGGTTTGCCTCGAACTCATGGTTCAGGCAGTCTTCTCATTTCTGCCTCCCAAAGTGCTGGGATTTACAGGTGTGAGACCCTGCACCCAGCTATGAAGTGAGTTTTTAACACAGTTGAGTTGAAAGGAGGAGCTCAGTATAGTTAGTCCACAGTGCAAAGCTGTTGAGATGTCTTACTTTTGATGTAACTGGTATTGACAGCTTAAACTAACAGACCCCTTTGTTTTAAGAGACATACTTATCCCCTCACCCCTTTTCTTTGCTTGTGTGACTGTTCCATTTAACATTTGAAGTCTGAACCGGGCGTGGTGGCTCACACCTATAATCCCAGCACTTTGGGAGGCTGAGGTGAGAGGATTGCCTGAGCTCACAGGTTTGAGACTAGCCTGGGCAACTTGGTGAGACCTCCCCTCTACAATAAATCAAAAAATTAGCCGAGCATGGTGGCTCATGCCTGTAGTTCCAGCTACTTGGAAGGCTGAGGTGGAAGAATCGCTGGAGCCCTGTAGGTCAAGGCTGTGGTGGTCGTGAGTGTGCCACTGCCCTCCAGTCTAGACAATAGAGTAAGACTCCAACTCAAAACAAAACAAAACAAAGCAGCATTTGAAGTCTGGGGAGGTAAAATCTATTTCTCCTGTTCAGTATGCTTAGTAGGAATTTTGTTTTTGGTAAAAATGACATTTCAGACTCGTTTATTCAGCAGATATTTAAATGCCAGACACTGTTGTCCTGGGATATAACAATAATAAACGTCCCTGCGGTCATGGAGCTTAACATGCTAGCTGGGCAGTGGTAAGCGCTATAGAGAAAAATCAGGGTAAGTGTTGGGGAGGAGATTATTTTCTATAGGATGACAAGGGAAGGTCATTCTTATAAGCTGATATTTCAGCAGAGACCAAAGGAAGTCAGAGCAACCCAGGTGGGAATCTGGGGAAGAGTGTTCCACGCAGAGAAAATAGCAAGGGTAAGAGCCTTGAGGTGGAATATGGCTGATGTGTTCTTGCAGCCACAAAAAGAACAGTATGGTTGGAAAGGAATAAGCAAGAGGGTGGGAGAATTATAGCAGATGTCATTAGGTATAGGTTTATAGGTAGCGTAGGTCGTCATTCAGGGCTTTGCTTTTAAATCAGTGATGTTGGAACTACTGTCAAGCCATTTGGAACTTGGGACAGAATTAAACTGACGAGCCTGGGCAACATAGCAAGATCTTGTCTCTACAAAAAAAAAAATTATTTGGGCATGGTGGTGTGTATCTGTAGTCCCAGCAACGTGGGGGGCAGGGGCGCCTGGCCAACTTAGTTTTGTTAATGTCCAAAGAGACCAGTGCCAGTGGCTCATGCTTGTGATCCCAGTGCTTTGGGAGGCCACTGCAGGAGGAATACTTAGGACAGTTCAAGACCAGCTTGGGTAGCATAGCAAGACCTTGTCTCTACAAACTTTTTTAAAAAGTGGCTGTACGTGGTGGCATGCACTTGTAGTCCTAGCTATTTGGGAGGCTGAGGAGGAGGACTACTTGAGCCCAGGAGTCTGAGCTATGATTGTGCACTTTACTCCAGCCTGGGTAATAGAGTGAGACCCTGTCTCTAGGAGACAAATAAAAAATAAATGCCCAAAGAGCCAGTAAATAAAAAGAAAACGAATAGAAAAATGGACAAAGGAATGGAACGAGAAGTTTCTAGGAAAGGAAAGAAATAAATGACTAATAACAAATGCAGAAATGTTCTGTTGTTAAATAAAAGTAAGCTAGACATTGTGGCTCATTCCTGTAATCTCAGTACTTTGGGAGGCTGAGATGGGAGGATCACATGAGGCCAGGATTTCAAGATCTGCCTGGGCAACCTAGCCAAACCCTATCTCTGAAAAAAAGAAAAATAAAAAAATTAGCCAGGCATAGTGGCACACACCTATAGTACTAGCTACTTAAGAGGCTAAGGCAAGAGGATCTCTTGAGCCCAGGAGTCAGAGGCTGCGATGAGCCATGATTGTGCCACTGCACACCAGTCTGAATGACAGAGAGATACCCTTGCTCATCAGGATAAGCCATGTGTGGACTTATGACTCGTGGAAACTGTGAGATGATATGTGTATGTTGGAGTTGATTTTTATTTATTTTATGAATCATGGTCACCTTTATCATACAAAATACATTATATTAAAATTATGAAAAATACATTATACAAAATAAAGTGAAAGCTCCCTGAATTATATTTTTATCTTTTATTTTTTGAGTTGGAGTCTCACTGTCGCCCAGGCTAGAGTGCAGTGGCACGCTCACAGCCACTCCAGCATTGACCTGCTGGGCTCCAGCAATCCTTCCGCCTCAGCCTTCCAAGTAGCTATGACTGCAAGCACATGCTACCACACCTAACTAATTTTTGATTTATTGTAGAGATGATGTCTTGCCAAGTTGCCTGGGCTGGTCTCAAACCCTCAAGCTCAGGCAATCCACTCACCTCGGCCTCCCAAAGTGCTGGGATTACAGACTGAGTCACAGAGCCCGACCCTGAATTATTTTCCTAAAAAGTAAACTGGAGCCGCGCTCGGTAGCTCAGCCTGTAATCCCGCGCCTTTCGGAGACTGAGATGAGTGGATTGCCTGAGCCCGCGGGTTTGAGACCCGCCTGGGCAGCGAGACCTCATCTCTACAATAAATAAAAAAAATCAGCCGGGCGTGGTAGCGCGTGCCTGTAATTCCGGCTACTCGGAAGGCTGAGGCGGAAGGATCGCTGGAGCCCAGGAAGTCGAGGCTGCGGTGGCCGAGAGCGGCCACTGCACTCCACTCCAGTCCGGGTGACAGAGTGAGACTCCGACTCAAAAAAAAAAAAAGAGTAAACCCGGGCCGGGGGGCGGGGGAGCAGGGAGGGGAAGGGAGGTGGAATTAACGATAGTCAGTATCTGTTTGGGGGGGCACACCTCATCAACAAGGGTACCTGCACAATGCATATTTGTATACCTAACCCTAAACTGTACCCCACAATTAAAAAACAATATGTATTAAAAAAAATAAGTAAGCTGGGCTTGGTGGCTCAGCCTGTAATCCCACGCCTTTGGGAGGCTGAGGTGAGTGGATTGTCTGAGCCCGCGGGTTCGAGACCCGCCTGGGCAGTGAGACCTCATCTCTACAATAAAAAAAAAAAAAAAATCAGCCGGGCATGGTAGCGCATGCCTGTAATTTCAACTACTCGGAAGGCTGAGGTGGAAGGATCGCCGGAGCCCAGCAGGTTGAGGCTGCGGTGGCCGGGAGCGGCCACTGCACTCCAGTCTGAGTGACAGAGTGAGACTCCAACTCTAAATAAATAAATAAATAAGCTGGGCTCGGTGGCTCAGCCTGTAATCCCGCGCCTTTGGGAGGCTGAGGTGAGTGGATTGCCTGAGCCCGCAGGTTCGAGACACACCTGGGCAACTTGGCGAGACCTCATCTCTACAATAAATCAAAA